AAGCTAATGCTAGGCTAAAGGACAGCTTCAGCACTAGCACAAACTAGAAGCTGGTCATCCACTCTTTGGCCTGGCTGCTGGAGGACAAAACCCAAGACAGAGCTAATATATGTTGCTAAGGTTTGACCCACAATGCCTCACAGAGGCATCTAGCTGCTGTGGCTGGGGACAGAGGTGTACTTTGCCCTTGTCTTTCCACAGAATCAGTGTAGTGTCACTGAGAAGTTCACTAAGCTTGAGGAATTTCCCCTTAGCTTGGCAAAAATCGCCAACAGCCAGTCACCGAATGAGGAAAAGTTGATCTGAGAAATTTTGAAGTTTGCAAAGTTATGAGCAATTAACTAAAAGTGGAGGTTATAGAGCTGTTGGGTACCCAGTGTAGTGATTGCTGAATGTACACAGAGTTGTTTTCCTAACATTTTTCAAGATTTTCTAGCATCTTCTCCATCTTTCTCTCTCTGTCTCCTCAATTTCTCTTTAAAAGCTGTGTATTGTTTGACTGTTGCTTTTATGGATTCCTATACATTGTGTCTTCTCCCTTTTTAATTTTCTTTTTCTAAAGAGTATGTAAAGATTAGTAAAGCAGTCCACTCCAACTGAAGGAAGGTTTCGCTCCAGGTAACGTTACATTCAAATACTATAGTGGTGAGCACAGCATAAATCAATAGACTTCTAAGCTTGCTCGTGCAATAAGATTTGGTAGCATCCCACATGAGATGCCGCTGGAGTTGGTAGCAAATCTGATAATAAGCTCTTTCCAGTGAGACCGCTGAATGGACCTTATAGTGCCATTGCTATGGGAGCACTGAGAAGGAGAAATGAGAGATAGGAGGCAGGAGAGCTGAGAAGTTTCTCTTCCAGCTCTGCCACTGGCTGCCAGTGGGTGATCTGTTAGAAGCTACTTAAATTCTCTGTGCATGACACAACTTCCGTCTGTTAAATAGGAATAATACCAACCACTGAAAGTTGATCCAAGATGTAATTCATGAGGTATTGTTGAAGTAAAATACCTGGAGGCCCTTAAGTAAAAGATGTATTTCCTGGTGTTCCTGTCATGCTCTCCTCAGCTATTATGTATTGAAACAAGCTGATATGTTAGTGATCTTGCTGTACCAATTTTGATTCCCTATTTAGTATTTCTTATTTTGTTCCTCTTCTTTTGCTGTGGTGCCTGTGATGATCCTGCAGTTCTGGACCCCTTGTCAGACTTGATAAATAGCTTTGCTCTCTTTTACAGCCAACACCAGCAGAAAACCTATTGATTTTTATTTATTTTGATGGTGCTGCAGTAGTCTTGTCATCTCCTATCAGTGTGCCGGGAATCCTCTCCTCCATTAACGAACCATTAAAACAAAACAGAACACAAAAATTAAAGAAAAGAGCACAGCATAATGTAGCATTGTCCTAAATAACCTGTGAAGTGGAGTTTGTGTTGAGGCATTTTGTTTCAAACAAAGGGAGACGCAAAGCAGAGCTTTGATAACGTGGCAGAACAGTGCAAGAAAATCCTGTAGTGTCTCTCTCAGGCATGTAGATCTTCCAGGTCCCACTAGGACAGAAGATCTGACAGTCCATCTGCTGAGCTTTCCTTGATTTGCTGTTACTCTGCTTGTGCACATTGGTCAGAGGCATTTTGGAAGATCTCTAGAAATTGCTATTGTTACTTAGCAAAGCAAGCGTGCTCACCTGAGACAAAGCAAATCACTAATGTAAAGACTGATGTGTGAAATGTGCATATCCTTGAGCCACAAGTCACTGTCTGGTTGAGTTGCTCACTTTAATAACTTGTGCCCATGAATACCAGAGCCCCATGGTGAGGTGGTGGAAACAAATCCTCTCACAAACATCTTCTTGATGCTCTGCTCTTTTCCTGCTTTTTGTCAGGGAGACTTGCAATCTGGTACAGAAGCTGTATCCTTTTTCCTTCTCCTTCCTTTGTATTTCATCCCATTTGTGGGACAAGAGACCCAACACGACTTCTGCATACAGTGTGTGAACAGTAAAGTCTCCAGTGTGTCTGTCTACAATGAATATGATCCAGCCTTCTACTTTATAGTTTGGATGCTAATAATAAGGGGAATAATAGTAGTGAATACTAAGGACCACATCTAACTAGAGGAACATGACTCTGATGCCTTTGAACAGTGTAAACATCCCCATGCACTCTGTGAACGCAGAATCGGAAACTAATTGTTGTTATGTGCCAAATAGCATATTGGCAGGATTTATACAGCAAAGCCCCTGGCATCATGAAAACCCTAACCCCAAATGCTCTTCTTTGGCAGAAAGAAAGAAATTTGGGCTCTGGGCTACTCTTGCTATTAGATAACTGGCAGATCAAATATTTACAGGGACCATATTGTTTAGATTTTTCTTCATCCTGTTACTCTCAGCCAATCTGAACACAGAGCAGCTGGGGTTTGTTTACCCACCAAGAACTGAATCTCAGGCAGGTTATGCAGCTTTTTATGTTCTGACTGGCAAATGATAATGTATAGGAAGTTAGTGATACCCAAGGCGGTGCAGATCAACATGTCTGTTTCTGTGCTGGTTTTCAAAGTTTGGTATAGTTCACCTCCCCCAACACTACTTTATTTTCCTTGACAACTGAACAAAGAGTTTAAAGTGTTAAGGGACTTGAGAATGTTTCAGCCTGTGGTCTTTGTAGTTAGCAATCTTGGACTAATTTATGTCCCTCAGGGGAATAAAAACCTGAACCCATGATTCTTGAGTAGATATCCCCCATAGCTTTCATATGCAAATAATTGTCTCATTGATATGACTCTGTCCTATCATGCTAACAGTAAATCAAATCCATGTGCCCCCCTCCCTATTTTCCTAGTCAGATTTGCTAATAAAAATATCTTATGGCTAGAAATGAATTGCAACAGTATTTTGAAAGGCTGGTGGAATGTGGAAAGTGCAGAGGTGCTATGAGATGCCCTGGCTAGGCGTACATGCCCCTGCCATCTCTGCCAGCTGTTGGAAAGCAATAGCAACCAGCTGGGTGGTTGCAGGTCTGTTGATGTGAAGAAGGATAAAAGAGAAAATACAGCAATGAAAGGAAAATCTGAAATGATCACCATCTGTTTAGGAAACATCATACCTGTTAAAATATGGATTTCCATTTTGTTCTCCTTGACTGGTTCAGTTCATTGGAGAGGCTGGACCCAGAGATTATAAAGCATTTCACCCTGGTTCAATCTCTTGAACAGAAATGTGTTAATTTTGTTGAACCATTTGAGAAGAAGCTCACTGCAGGGGACCTTCTTTAGAAAGCCAAAAGGGGAAGAAAAGTGCCACGTAATGTGGCGTGCACCTCCCAAACACATACCAGCTACTTTTACCGAATACTAATCCAGGTTTAGAATTGTCTTGTGAGACTGTGGCAAAGCCCAAATCAATCTGGCTTTGAGCTGAAATAGCGACAACCTGCTCTGTCCCATGTCAGTACAGGACCTCGAGAGCAGCTAGACACATTCTTGACTCAGACTTCTGCCTTTGGAAAACATGTTGGATGCTCCCACATTGGCCTTTTGACTGCTATAGTCTTGCCCATGTGTTAGGATGGCAGTGTGCCTGTGCACAAAGTGTTATGCCAGTTTCACAGAGGTAGAAGTGCCAAGCAAAATGGACTTGGCTGGGCAGGCTGCATAGCTCTCGGAGTGTGCTGAGAGGCTGCAGTAAGTCTTTTTTGGTAACAAGTATGTCAGAGGAGTAGGACAAGTCTGTTCTCGTGTTTGTTGACATCCATATGCTGAAGGAGGTTGTTGAGGAAGGAAGGCAGGTTTCTCTGTGTGTGTCTGCTGATGCTTGGCATAATTGTTGAGGCAAGCCTGTGATACTAAATTGTAGGCTCTAAGGATATCTCGGCAGTCTATATGGAGAAGGAGCCATAGCAGATAGTGCCTTTAGGGTCATGGACTGCTGCTACACCCTTCCTCTGCTTTGCTAGTAGGTGTAATAAAGGCAAGTGTCTGAAGCCTTTTACATGTAAAAAGTTAAAGAGAGAAGTCTTGATGGTTGCCTATGTCATGGTTTCCGCGAAGTGCTAGAGAGGACACTTAGCTACGGCCAGGCTGTGGGTAAATCTACCTGACCATCATGTGTCAGTGACTGTAAAGAACCATTAGCTGCATAAATTCACGTGAATGTCCATTTCATGACATCACCACTCCAGAAAGCCCTTTCTGCAAGTAGCAGTAGCAGTTTGCCCTCAGCAACTTATAGTGGTATACATGGTGCTTTTCTAGTGTACATGTTAAATCCCTCAAACAGAGGAGCAGCACAACGGAAATGCTGGGCCTCTGATGCTAATATCTTTACAGGAGTCCAGGACCATGGAAAATATTATTCCTTCTGCTCAGAAGCATATGTAGCCTAAATGTAATGTACTGTAAATATGGGTCATGATAAATCACCAGATGAAACAGGGAATGATTAAAAGGAGAGGGGGATGCCTTTGCTTGATAGCTTTCTGTGTATATAGCCACAGTTGGGTGAGAGCCACAGGTCAGGTAAGCAACAGGGCCTCTTGTATTTAGTCTCAGAGCTGGAGAAGGGCATCGCTATAATAAGTAGATTTATTTTTAGCAGACAGTCCCAACATTTCACCTTACCTGTGCAAAAGTGCCTGACCACACCTGCAGAGGATCCTGAGAGCTCCACACAATCTACTGGATAAAACTAATTTAGAATAATTGATTATTTTTTTTTAACATTTTAATGTTTTTCACCATACTATGTGTTCCTTTCTAGATGACACCACTAATAAACCAGGCCTGTGATGTCCTGCTGTGTAACTTGAAAGCCTATGCAGATTCTGGGAAAGCTTTTGATATCCAGAGGTATGTTCAACATGCCAGAAATTAGTAGCAGAATTAAAAAAAAAAAATAAATCCACAGTAGCAGTTATTCTAAATATGCACTTACTCTATAAAAGAGGATTTTTTTTTTTTCCTCCCTCACTTTTCTAAGTGGAGATCGTAGTTTAATAGAGAATGTGCCTGATAGATTCCTTTTCTTACTGGGGGCAGCCATTGTACACTTGAAAAGTAATTTTAGAAAAGCATCTGATATATTTCTAGTGGTTGTTTAATGAAGTTTTAACAGCTGGAAGCAGGAAAGAAAGCTGCATCAGTCCCTGTCCAGTCTGCTCTCTACAGTCTGCCAATAACATACAAATATAGGAATTGATCTAGTATCAAATCCCTCTAGTCCATCACTCTCTTGCCTTTTTTATGTGAGTTTTTTTGAGCAGTTACTCTTACCATATTCCTCCTAACCCCCTCAACTGGCACCCTAGCCTTTTGTGAAATGGTGGGATCAGTACTCCAGATGAGAATGGACCATTGATTTATAAAATAACACTTTAATATTTTCCATACGGTGCTTTCTACCATTTGTTGTGTATTTAATATCCTATTATCTTTTTTGTTGCTCTTTCATGAGAGGTCTTCACTGAACTGTTCATTACACTGTCTAGCTCCTTCTCTAAGCAGATGCATTTCTTCTAGGAGCCTGTACAGCATATGAATAGTTCACGCGCATTCTTTCCAATAGGCACTATTTTCCACACACTTCGTTTGCTGTGTTGGCCAGCACCCTCTGAAGTTCTTCATGATTTCCCCCAAACTGGAGCAGCACAAATAATTTTATTTCATCTGAAGAAATGGATATTTATCCACAATTGATCCATCTCTCTTTAAGTACATGTATATGTACGCGCGCAAATGTATGTATGTACACAGAGATCTCTTTATTAAACATCTTAAGAGATTCTATGAAACCTTGAGATACATTACGCTTAGCCTAGTGCTCTGATGAAAATGGACCTTTTGAGTCCTTCCAGGCTTTTCCTTTTTTTCCATTTGTCCTTTTTCTTTGCCTGGTCTTTTAGATATTGATCCATGATAGGGTTTCTCCTTTCAAGAGGCACTTTTCAGAAGACCTGTTGAAAGTATAAATGAATGACGTTGACCATCTCAGAATATGATCTTCCAGTTGTTTTATCATACTACCATTTCAGTAGGTTTGACATATATAAATGTGATTCTCATCTCACTGCAGTTTCCCAGAATTGCCTTGGGAGCTACTTTTTGAATATAAATACCCTATCTGCAAGCTCCTGTCATCTTTTACATTTGTTGGCTTTAGCCATTTTGTGTTTCGCCAACAACTCAGAATTTAGTTTTTAAGCTTTTTCAGTACCTTGGAGAGGTAGATGATCGAGTGCTTCTGAAATTATTGTTTTATTGCAGCGCCCCCCTCTTTCAGCATTTCAACTTCTAATAACATCTTGTGTGTGTTTATAAGAGTTGAAAACCCAAAGAAGTTACTTAGCTTTGCAGTACTGTTGTTATCTTTCAAATCTGCTCTGATGTCATCAGAATGACAACGCCTAAAGATCATAGTCTAGAAATGCTGCATCACAATCTATATACAAGATATACTGGGCCTGAGTCCTGTGCTTCTCTTAATACATGCTTACTCAGGCTAAAACACCAGAGAATTTGATATTAGCCTTTTGTAAGGGAACACAGAAGAACAGTCATTGCAGACTTGACCACAGATCAGAAGAATCAAATATTAAGAATATTTTACAGTCTCAGTCCATTTATCTCAAAACTAAATATAGCTGCTAATGCCCAGTAGAAATAAAGATGGTGGCAATTGGATAGGTGGTCAGATATGCAGGGAGAGATCCAGTGAGTTCTGAAGTTTCTAGATCATGGACTACACATCATTTGTAGTTCTCAAAGCATTTGCTGCTCCTCTGCAGATATGCAGATTTCACATGACGACAGTTTCTCTTGGTTTTGACCACGATTTTATGTTACAAAGGCGCTGTCAAGAAGACAAAGGAAATCCTTAACAGGAGATTTACTTAAGCACCTCTTGTCACTGAGATTTTAGACTGGACTGGTAGTAGATGTGATTTCCGCAGTTTAAAATGAGAAAGGAATGGTCTCTTTTATTAGGATGCATACTAGGAAAATGCTTATGAGTCTCTGACCTGTTGCATTTGATTTCTAGGTAATAACAAATTTATTTTTTATAAATTTTTAGTGGAATTATTGGGCTATATGAAAATACGTTCACTTTGTAGATGGAGAGAAGGTGATCGTTATTAAGTGCCAACATTTGTCAGAATGATGGAAACAACTCTTTTTCTCAATGCAGGTGTTACAACTGCTTCACCTTGGATGTCGTTGGTAGCGTAGCTTTTGGTACTGAGGTGGATTCTCAGAAGAATCCCAATGACCCCTTTGTTAAGAATTGCAGAACATTCTTTGAAATGTCTTTGTTTAAGCCTCTCCTCCTTCTAATCCGTGAGTATAGTCTGTCTACTTCCTTATGGTAATTTTTCGAAAAATCATTCTCAAGTTGCAAAACATGCTGAAGCAGGAGCAGGAAGATGTATAGCGGACTTTATTTCAGAGGTGTTCAGAATGCAACCTACAGGCCAAGTATACCCTGGAGTTTTCTGCCATATGCTCTGCAGCTTTTGTCACCATTAATGCAACTTCCTCCAGAAACCAAGAGTCTGGGACGGCAATGCCCCAAGTTGATCTGAGTGGAAGGTTTCTATGACCTGTAATTTCTACGGTATCTCTTTTAATACATTCACATTAAAACAGAGTAACTGCCCTTTGGAGCCCGATGGTAAAGTTTTTGTGCACTCGGTTTGCTTGGTAGAGATTGAAATCCCATCCATAAACAACAGTGGGCTAATAACCCAGTAAAGAAAAGAGTTGGAGGAGTATAAACAAATAGTATAAATCCTCCAAATTCTTGTTTGAATAGCAGCAGCAGCCTGGTCGATGGCTATGAAGGATAAAGATAAGTGCCAGCACAGGCTGCCGTTAAGAAAATGCACTTATTTTCAGGTGCGTGGATAGGTCATGCAAGAATGGTATATAAAGCCACTGAGTTCTAGGGCACAAAAGGTAAGGCTTCATGGTGACGGTGGCCTTGCTAACGCAAGGGCAGTAAGAATTGTAGCTGAGGAATAAGCATAATCGAGGTTGTTGAGGTTTTACCATCTTGCTATCTAGACCTGCACACAGTAGTGTCAGGTGGCACAGTGACAAAGTTTCCTGTGCCCATCTGATCCTGCTGGCATTGCAGATTGCACCGGTACTGCACATGAACTGTTTCCTTCTGGAGTTGTCCTGGGGTTAATGTTTAACCTGATTGCAAAGTGTGATTTGTGACGATTTCCAAAGTGACAGAAGTGTGTCCCTATATGTCTAAGACCATGTCCTTCATTAAAGAAAATTTCTGTAGGGTTTGGGGTTGGATTCCTTGGTTGATCTCTTTCTGTTGGTACATTATGTGGTCTGAATTTCTGCACTGTGTTGCCCTGTTGGCAGCACACGGGTTTTCTGATGACTGATTTGTTAGTCTTAAGCTGTTCATAAGTTAATGAGGGGTTTATTAAGATGCAAGACTTCACTCAGGTTTCTAGTTCCTGGCTATAAAGGCCATGTACTGGACACCATCCTTGTGATAACATCGCACTTCCAGAGTCTGTGGCCTGTTTAGAGAAGTGAAATAAAATAGCAAACCAATATCCTCATATTGGAGATCTGTACATGAGAATGATTAATACACAATTTCATAGTTCACAATTTCATAAGCCGCTAGGCTAGTTCAAGGTCCCTCACCTTCTGTACACGATTGTTTGAGTAGGCAGGGAAAATAGTTCTCCCCTTTGTTGTGGTGGCTCTGTAACATCAAGAAGCTGAACTGAAATCTTGAAGCTGAACTGAAATCATGAAGCATTGTTGAAGTAAGCTTGGAAAGCATCTGTCTGGCAGGGGAGTCCCAGCCAACATGGAATTTCTAAAAGGAAATCCTTTACCAGCCTATGGGGGTGGAAGAAAAAGAGGGAGAGGAAAAGAGGAAAAAACAGGTTTCAGAAAAGTAACACATCCCACTTGATGAGCTTTATAATACATTAATGAAAGGAGAGGGATATTATATGCCTTTACAGTCTAATTCAGTGTTTTCTTCTGTAAAATCTCTTACAGTTTCTTTCCCATTCATAATGATCCCATTGCTCCGGATTTTGCCAAGCAAGAAACAAAAGGAACTGAATGGATTTTTTATCCAAACCATAAAAAATGCAATTGTCTTCAGACACCAGCAAGATGCAGCTGAGGTAAGGCTATTTCTGTGATAAATATATGGATAAGCAAATGTTTTGAGGAAAAACTGGAAGTGGCATAAGCCTCAGCTGAAAAAGCAAACTCGGTCTGTTTGAACATTCAAAGCAATTTAGTAAAGATTTTATTCATTTTTAGCTTTATGTACCATCAGCCAGGCTTGGTGTTGATGCAGAATTGTTAACACATTACAAGAAAGATTGCTTCTCTTAGTATTTCTGTTCAAATAAGGATGCAGAAAATGTTACATCTGGGATGACTTTTCAACCCAGTTGCTAGACCCAGAAGGAAGGATTTACCTTGTAGAATTTTTTCTCATCTTAAAGTTAGGTGTTTTTTCTATGCTACTTTTCCTTAACGACCAGAGAAAAGGGAGCCCCCACTGAGTATTTCAACCCAGTCATTATCTAGGAGCTGAGGCAGGTTTTATGTAGTCCTGTGACAGTTCCTACTGCTTTTGAAAATGGAAAGAACCAGAATGTCTGGTTAAGAGCAGACACTTGATATTGAGATGGCTAAAGAGAAAGCTAGTAAATTCTACCTAAAGTATGCAAACTAATGGGAATGCATTATTAGCAAATAATGTTACCCATATATTTCTTTCATCTGGACAGAAAGCAGTTCTGTTTTTTTTTTGTTTTGTTTTGATCACTGTTGTTTTATGAAGTATCTGAAGGCACATGCATTTTTATTAAAGTTTCTCATTTTTTGATATACAAAGCATTTGGAACATAGGCATGTGCTTCAGTTCTGTGATGCAAAAGTTCTTCAGGTCTACTTGTCCTTTTGGACCATTCTTTACTGCAGACCGCATATGATATCCCTAAAAATAAGTTAACCACTTAGTTATGGATGTGTAGTGAGAAAAAAAGAATATCAATGAAAATTCCATTTTAAAGGTAACTGAGACGCATTTTGCGTATCAATTGCATGAAACATGCTACAACACACACATTAAGAATCTGTTTAATATTGAAATATAAGAGCTGTTTCTTACCACTTTGAAATGAAGAGCAATTCTGATGGGGTAACAACACAGGTGAGAATGGATCCTCCCAACTCTTTCTCACAGTTTAGCCCTGCAGCTGTCACCTTTCAGGAAAAAAATTTGGTTTAGTTTACCCTATATTATATCCAGGACACATTTAAAAATCAAATTGAGTTTCAAAGATGTTACTGCTCTTTGCCGTGTTGCATATTCTGCTCTTTTTCTTTGACTTTTTCTGCAGTGAAGTCTCACTTCTGTATTTGTTGCAGTTTATCACTGCATGCTTCTTGTCTTTCCTCCAGCCTACCTTTATGAGTCTCTGCCCCCACTAGCCTTTAGGTTTTTGTCTCTTCTTTACATCCAAAAGATTATAAGCACCACTAACCGGCCACAAACAATTCGTGATTCATAAACATGGTTCCAGGCTGAATGCTGAAAAATATTTTATAGGGATGGTGTATCTAAGCTGCTTGCGGACACCACATTTCTAGTGCACAGATCCAGTGTGAGCTTTTAATGGCATACTGGTGTGGCCGTATGTATGGAGTTATGAATCAGAGATTTATGTTGAAGGGGTCTGCATGGAAAGTCTATTCTGTGTATCAATTATAAAAGGGGAAATGAAACAATCTAATGTGGATTAGAAGTAGTCACTGTATTAGCTACTGTTAATAAAATGCAATGTATTTCTGTGGCCATAGCACTGAGGGCATTGATCATGGGCTAAATCCTTCCCTATACTGTAGATGGTCACTCACACAAACTGCAGACAAAGATAAAGGTCAGCAGGTGGGTATGGTTAGGAGGAAACATAAGGAAAAGCATAAGGAGCATGTCTCATATGAGGAAAGACTGAGAGACCTGTGTCTGTTTAGCCTGGAGAAGAGAAGGCTGAGAGGGGACCTTTTTGATGCTTGTAAGCATGTAAAGGGTGGGTATCAAGAGGATGGGCCAGGCTCTTTTCAGTGGTGCCCAGTGACAGGACAAGGGGCAACGGACATAAACTGGAACAAGGGAAGATCCATCTGAACATGAGGAAAAACTTCTTTACTCTGAGGGTGGCAGAGCACTGGAACAGGCTGCCCAGGGAGGCTATGGAGTCTCCTTTTCTGGAAATACTCAAAACTCACCTGGGTGTGATCCTGTGCAACCTGCTCTGGGTGAACCTGCTTTAGCAGGGGGGTGGGACTAGGTGATCTCCAGAGGTCCCTTCCAACCCCTACCGTTCTGTGACTCTGTGATCGTAATGACAAGAGCAGGAGGCAGCATTCTCTGCATATGCAGCCTGTTTGCAGGTTTCAGTGGTTGATGGAGCAGAGTTTTAAGGTTATATTGGAAGGGATGTTGCGAGATGCTGTAGAGATAACACATGGCAGTAGCTGCCGAGTATCAGGGCAGGGTGGAGGAAAGTACAAGGTCCATGTTTGCCTCAACAGTGTATGCACAAGTCCATTACTGGCTGTGGCCCCGCCTGCTCCTGAACTTTTACCTAGTTTGCAAAATTGGCGTATGGGAACTATTTCAAACGCTGTGAATTAGACACTTTGGACTAGATTTCTGAGAGTGCGTTAAGTCCCCTTTGCAGTTCAGGATCATTAGCACGGCTTTCAAAAGCGACTGGAAAGTTTGGAGCTTCCTATTTTTCCGTTTTCATTCTGTCTTGTTATACGCTCTTAGAATTTTGATTGTTTTAGGTTGATGGCACACGAGTCTTGTTACAAGTATAGGCAACTTAATAATTTGCCAGGAACATAAAAATGATATGTGAAACAGATCAAAATGCAGCTGTGTCCGATTTAATGCAGAAATGTAATCTGTAGAGATTAGGTGTCCCAGATAGCCCTGCATTTGAAGGAGAGTTATGTCCTGTGTCCTAGGTCTCGAGTGATGAAATGTACCCACTGAAATCAGTCAGAGTTTTGTGACTGCATTTTAATGAGCCCAAGATATAACCCGTAGCTACTGGTTCTTTGTTCTAATAATAGGACCTATAAGCAAAATCTTACGGCCTCCGTGTGCTGCATTAGGCCAATGGGTATTCCTTAGGTTGCCACATTCCTAGATGTTACATTGTGTGATTCTTTTACTCCTTGTTGGTTTTATCACCATTAAAAATGCTTTTGGGTTCTTTTCTTTGGAGTATGGGAAAAAAAAAAACAACAAACCACCTTTGGAACAAACTGTAAAACAAATGAAAAGATCCACGGAAGTGATTCAACTGAAGCTTGTCTTCCTCTAATCTGCAGCTAACGTGAACAAAGAATAAAGAAAGGCCAAAAAACAATGTGACAAGCAAAGTCAGCCTGTTATCATCCCTGTTCTATCAGTAAATGAAACAATGCTTCTGAATGCCTAAAGATAATCCCATGGGCAGATAGTAATTTTACAGCCAGGTTTAGATCTAATAATACGCTTGCAGCTTATACAAGATCTGTGATGTCACTTTCTCTCATCCCATCGGTTAGTGCTGCAGATGTCATTTTAATTATATACTATCTTTCTGTGGTCAGTCAAATAATTTCAGTCCTGGATATCCCACTCATTTGGCTTATGTACAAAACCGTTTAGTGGTCGTACTTTAGAAATTTTAATATATTACATTTATTCATGGATTCAAATTATTGTAAAATGCTTTTCCCACTATTTACAGAAGAGCAAATTCACCCTGCTCAGAAGAAACAGCACAAATTTAATGCACCACTTAACACCTACTTTGAAGACTCCAGCAGGATTTAAGTGTTCAAATACCTTATCCTGATTATCTGCCCAGGTTTAAATTTTTCCCTGAGGCAAATTGTTTCCAGAAACAGGGTAGATAGACTGTTTGTTTACTTCAGTAAATGATAGTTTGATAGATTTTCGTTTAATAGTCTGATATGCAAATCATTATTCATGTAAGAGTTGTTTTTCTAGCATGTTATAGCTGAGTTCTTAACCTACCAGTCTGTTTTAAATGATGATATCTAGATGGAGTCTTTCATGGTGCTCAATATGGAGACTCCTTTCTAAAACTGTGGGTTGAAACTAAGACCCCTCAGCAGATGAAAGGCCAGAATTTAATTTGTAATACATAGTATTAACAATAATCGGAATGTAACAATTTAAGGATATTGCAAAGCATTATTTTTGGAAAACTACAACAGGTATGTGGGAAAATCCAGTTTTCAAAATATGCACCTTTTAAACAAGAATTGGAGAGTTCATAAAGGCTGCAACACATTCTTCTGGCATCTCCTGATTTTTCCAGTCATACTGTCTGCTGTGAATGCATAATTCAAAGTCACTGATCCATGCCAGGTAGGTAGTGACCTGATGATGTTTCTGATGATGATCAGCTGTTTCTTGGTTGTCTCAAGCTGATTTGAAATGAGAGGGTGACAAAGCACAGGGAATATCACCAGAAATTGATTCACTGGCAGTTTAGTTGATCTGGCTGGAGACTTACGGACTACCTGAACGCTTTTGATGTGAGTGCAAAGCAGACAGATGGAACAACGGAAGAAGAGTGTGAAGGCTGTGCTGCTGTGAACCATGCTGCCTGTGAGCCACATGGTGTAAAGCCACAGAGAAGCTGTGTGGTGCTGTCAGTCCTGGTGATGACTTGGCCTCCTGTGAATTGGTACAGCCCTGGGATGCTCTGTACTCTACTGTGCTAGGTCTAGATCAAAAGAGGTTGTCCTCTGGTCGGGAGCTGAAAGTGAACAATTGCAGTCCCCTCCAGTTTTCCCCGATTCCCATCCTCACTCCTGGCCAATCCTTTCCCTGATCCCAAATAGGTACAGTCAGTGTCTCTGCTGCCCCTGGGGTGCCCGTACACCTGGGCAGGCATGAGTGGTTCCTGGTGAGTGGAGATCCTTTGGTTTTCTAGCATCAGCCTAAAAAGGTCAGGAAACTGAGTTTTGAGGATGTCTGAAACTCAGGTATTTAAATGCTTGCAAAGGGGAAAGAACTGCCCTTTCGCTACAGACTAACAATAGAAATGTGCTATAAGGAAGTGGTATCTTTCAA